TTGGATTGAAATTAGATCCTAAGGCACAAAATCATGCTTTTATGATGATTTTTGGATTTTTTTGGTAAATCTAAGAATAGGATTTAAGAATAAATTAGAATAAATATTTTTAGGCATTAGTCTTATATCATTTAGATCAATATTGAAAATTTAAGGAACTTTCAAAGTTAATAATGTTTTTGGTAGAATTAAGATTTAAAAAATAAAAATACTTTTACAAATTTAAAATTTTCTTGAATTTTGTAATGTATATATAGATGAAATTTAGGCAATGTATTTGTGTGTTAGTTATTAATGTGTATGAAAATTTTGAAGTCAATCAAGTAATTAAATAGAAGTATATAAAGGTTTTTGTAGATTGAAGTCTCAGAAATTGAAGTTTGAAGATCAATGAGTATTTCTAAGATCTTAAGTAATTTATCAATTGGACTAAAGTGAATTTTTTTTGTATAAATACTAGATTTGATTTTCAATATTTGAATGAAATTTGAAAGCAATTCAATAGTTCAAGAAGGAGATATTGATACTAAAAGTTTAATATTCATATTAGAGTAGGAGGCCGCCAAACACTCAATTGGATTATCTTGCATTTCTCTCAATTGATAAGTACAATCAATTTCATCTTTTTTGTGCTTATTTCTAATTAAGATGTTATAAAGTGTACAAATTTTGAATTGATATCAATAATTTGATAGTTAGTTGTTGAGGTTTTATTTTGCTATAAGATTTGTTCAAAGGTTATTCAAGATCTAAGACTTGATTGGAGCTTGGTTAAGGATTTGGTCTAGGATTTGCTTAGAATTTGGTTTAAAACTTGTCTAAAATTTGCCCAGGATTTAGGATTTCATTAGAATTTTATTAGAATTTGGTTAAGATTCAATTGGATTTCAATTACGATTATATAAAGATTTTTATTTTTAATATTTTTTTAGGATTCTTTGTATTTATTTTATAATTTCTTGTAAATTTATTTTGATAGATTAAAGATTGATTGGATTTATAAAAAATTAATTGAAGTTTATTTAAGACTCTATTAGACTTACTAAAATTGTTGCATTTTTACTTATCTTCCATAGCTAGGTACCAAGTGTATTAAGCTAGAATACACATAATACAACAACATAATATAAAATTGGTATAGAATCAAAGGCTTTCTTTAAAGCTTTAAATGTTGATTTTGTTTTTTGATTCTATTGAAGTATGTCTTTATAAGTCAAACATATAAGTAGAGCTGCAACTTTAAAAAAATCCTTGACGAAGATCTAATAGTAATTGGCAAATTTCAAAAAATATTGGACATCTTTTATTATTTTTGGAATCTTCTAATCTATAATAGTTTGAATTTTTTTAAGATTTATCATAAGTCCATCATTTGAAATGATATATCCTAACAAGTTACCTTAAATAGTATAAAATATACAATTTTTTTATCTTGGTATAAAGTCTCGCATCTCTTAGTATTTATAATACACAACAAATATAAAGCTTATGTTCTTTTTTGATCTTAGAATAGATTAAGATGTCATTTAGATAATAAATAACAAAATCGCCTAAAAACTCTTAAAAGATATTATTCATTAGATGTTGAAAAGCTGTTGATCCATTTGTAAGTCCAAAAGGTATGACATTATATTCAAAATGTCTGTACTTAGTTTAAAATACAATCTTCTATTCATCTCTTTTTTTGACGCGTACTAGATTATATGCCCCTTGTAGATCTATTTTTATATAAATCTTAACTTGATTCAACTAATTAAAAAGTCTAAATATGAAAGGTAGTGAATACTAGTTCTTCATAATGATCTTGTTGCTTCATTTGTAATCAACATATATCCGTAATGATCCATCTTTTTTCTTCATAAATAAAATTGGAGCTCTTATTGGAGATTTGAAATGGCATATGAAATTCTTAGCAAGATTTTCTTCAATATATTCCTTAAATTCAGCCAATTCATTTTGTAATAAAGTATAGACTGGTCCAAATGGTAGTTGAGCTCCTTCTTGAAATTCAAATGAGTAGTCATAGCAATGATGTTCTATAAGAGTATCCGCATTCTTCTTGTCAAATATATCTTAAAAATCTTGATATTGATTAAAAATACTATTTAAAGTCTTTTATTATTAAAATAGATATGATATAATAATATAAGGTGATTTTTTTTTGTAACATGCAAGAAAGTTCTTGCACCTACAAATATAGATTTGATTATATTTGACTTATGACTTTTTACTTGATTAATTACACTCTTAGATATATTTTTACAAAATTTAAGACTACAAGAAATCTAATTTATTCAAAGATTGTACTTTTTAAATCACAATAAACCTAAAATTATTGGATTAGGAGGAGATCTAATGATATTAAATACTACAAACCTACTATAACCATTAATTATTAGTTTTAGAAGAAATATTTCATAAATAATGTCTCTAAAGGATAATAGATGACCATCTATGACTTCTACATAAATAGATTTTGTTTTCTTTATTAAAGATATGTTATGTCTTTCAACAAATTTTTTATCCAAAAAATAATTTGAAGCTCTTAAATCTAGCAAGGCAGAGGATTTGTGATGTTTAGGTCTTAAAGTAACATCTATTGTAAAACAAAGAGAGGATTCTGAAGAAAGAATAGAACATTCATTAAGTGTTGTATAAATTTCTAGGTACATAATTCCTATTATAGCTAGATAAATTCATTTTTCGACATATTCTTTTCTTTGACAGTCTCACTTCTCATTTTATAATTGAATTACTTCTTTGAACAATGTTGAGTAACGTGCTTTGGTTCTCCATAATATAAACATAATCCTTATTGATGACAATGAGCCTTTTCTTGCTTAGTAAGAAGTTCAAAACATATTCTATCAATTTACATATCCTCTACTTTCAAAGATATGTATTGAAAAGATACTAATATTGCCATTAAATTGTAATAATGTTGAGGCCTACTTATGCAATTTTCATATCAAAATTTTAAAAATTAATTATTAAATTTTACAACAAAATCAATTACTTGATTTAATATTCAAAGATCAACTACATTGAACATCAATTTTTTTTTCTTCATATTTTAATCTATAAAAAAAATTGGCTAATGAATGTAGCATCATTTTACTTGATATTAATCAAAAGTTGTCTAAATTGTGAAGCATATAATGTTATAGATTGTTTTTTTTTTTTCATAAAATATGAATCTTATTTATTGCAACACAAATTGCATCATATTCTCTATACATAGATCAAAACTTTGCCAAGAAAGCTTCCAAATTGTCCAATATTGGATGACATCATTCAAGAAAGATGAAAACTATGATAATGTAGAATTCAAAAGTAATGTTTTAATAAACCTCACTTATGATCTTCAAGTTGAATAGCTTTAGGGTTGAAGTTCAATTGCTAGATGTATTTGATTGATGAATCTTCAAAACTTTGATCTTGTACCATCTAACTTCTCAAGTAAGACAATTCTTAATTTTCTAGTACTTGAATAGTATTCTATCATAAGAGAAAGAATATGATTTGGTGTAGATATTGAAGCAGCTCCAATCATCTCTATGTCTCCATTTTCTATCATTCTTGTTTTTTCTTATGGTGGTAAATTGAATTGATGCATCACAAGCATTAACTTCCTTAATTGTTCTTATATTTGTACTATTGTCCTTTTCATTTTGACAAGCTCTGCCATAATAATACTGAAAAGAACCATGTCTACATATATGATTTTTTCTTGTTTTATCTTTTCTTTAATGACACAAGAATTTGTTGTCTTTTGATGTTTGGCTACATTCATGTTTTTTATAAATAAGATAAATTAAAATTATTTAATTATTTTTAGATATTTAAAAATTAAAATATTAAATAAAATAAAATTTTGAGGTTTTAGCATAAGACAAAATATTAAAGTTGCAAAAAAAATTTAAAAAAAACTTAAAAACTAAGATCTAAGATATTTTTATTATAGTTATTTTTCAATTTTAAACTAAAAAACCAAATATCATCAATACAAGAACTTTTTTAGTATCTTTCAATTTATAATTTAGATGATTTTTAATCTTTGTGAGTCTATTTAAAATTAAGATATATAAAAAACTTAGAAGATTTGAAGTTGTCCAACAATGCAATCAAATATTATAGCTTATTTTTTTTCTTTTTCAATAATGCATAAATGTATTGTCTTCCAAAGTCTTTTTAGATTTGTGTCCTTGATACCATGTATTTGGTTGTAGAAAGAAAATTTTTGTGACTCCCCTATTGTCTTATAATTCCAAAATAAAATGCTTAAAAATATATTTTTTTAACAACTTCAATGTTTATAATTACATATCTTTATACCAATAGTTTTTTGTGTAAAAATTTAACAAAATTCAAATTCTTAGTAGGAAAATTTATTATACAAGGGTGTTTGTAAAAATCAAATATAATCAATTGAATTTTTCATTTAGCTCAATTCAATTTATTTGAATATTTCTTTTATTCATATAAATTTTGTAAATAACATATAAATAATTATTTGTCTAATGTAATAATTAAAAATAAATTAAAAAATCAATTCATAATTTATTTTGTTTTACATTACAATAAATAAATTTTATAATTTAAAAGTATTGAAATTATATATATAAAAATAGAATAAAAAATATTAATCATTGCAAAAGTTATTGTAATACTCAACACCAATCAGTGGCTTATTTATCTCCCAGGTCATATATTTCATGTGAACCTTCTTCTTCTTCTTCTTCTTCTTCTTCTTATTTATTTATTTATTTATTTTTGCCTTATATAATAGATATGTAATGTATTTTTCAACCTCCACCTTCAAGTAGCTTCCGAATCGGTTCTAAATGGAGATAACCGGTCCATACCCTGATGATACCTGGGGTTCTCGATATGTTGGGGCTGGAACACAGCAATGGTCTTCCATATCACCGTTCTTAGAGGTTTTACCGTCGAAGACGCTGCTGCGGCCGCTGGGAAACCAGATTGTGGTTCTCACGCCTTGCATCCCTTTTCCACCCTCCGCGGTAGCAAGGTGGCTATGAGCCAGTTCCTTGAGGAGGACAGGGCGCTCGTGGAAATTAGGGTTAAGAGCCCAGGCGCTCTATACGAAGTGACGCAGGGCTGTGAAAAGGAGAATTTAGAGCTTGTTGAAAAACCCTGGTATGGTTCGAAGAGGATGAAATCCTGGGAAAATGTGGATATGAAATTTCATCCGTGTCACTTTGGGGCTAAGAATTAGGGTTGCAGTAGTTTCGAGTAGTGCATAGTTATGGCGTTTAAGGTTCTAGGATGCACGTGGGCCTGTGAAGCTCGAACAAGGGCGGAAATGGGAATTCGTTTGGCTGGTAACAGAGTGGGGATTCATGGTATTTGGAGATGAGAGAAATTAGAATATTCAATGCGGAACTCTTGATAGTGAATTTTCTGTACGTTTAGTTGTACTTCGGGAAAATGGCGATTCCTGTTGGTCTCATGCTCTGCGTTGATGCAATGGGTACTGCCAATGTGAATAAGAAACTGGCATATCCTTCTTGTAAACTCAAATTTGGAAACTGTGGCCGAGGTGGTGCGGTTTCGGGGAATTTGAGAGTTGGTGCAATTATGCGAACGGGGAAGAGCGGGGTTAAAGTTGGGGGTTGCAGGAGGACGAGATTACCAGGAGGGCAGGGGATGTTAAATTTGAGAAGGATTGAGTCCGAGCGCATTTTGGTCGGAAACACTAATGGACTATGTTGCAGAGAGCGTTATGGGGGACTCTGTGTTAGAGCTTCGAAAAGCGGAGACGAGAAGGATTTGAGGTTCTCACAGCAGGTTCGGGAGCGAAGTGATTCGGAAGAAGAAAAAGAAGAGGGTGGATTGAGTGAGGCTGTAAATGGGGAGGAGTCCGCAGCCTCTATTTCTGCATTGCATGAAGATGGTCCAGTTACTCCAGACTATGGTTCCCGTAGGCCATTTCGGAACCGGTTTCTGGGACTGGTTAAGCTACGATCAAACATTGCGGAGGCAGCAGAAGGTGTATTCAAGAGCGAAATTCGGAGGCGTATATTTGTAACGATAGTTCTTCTCATGGCCAGTCGTGCAGGATATTTCATCCCTTTACCTGGGTTCGATCGACGTTCCATGCCTGGAGATTATTTAGGCTTCGTTTCTGGAGCTGTAGGTGAGAGTTCTGTGATTCTCTTCGTGAAAGTATTCCTGATCGCGCTAGCGAGCTTGGTAGCTAGACATTATGTTGTTATGTTTTTTAAGATTATGTCCTGTCATAAATGTCATAAATGTCTCTTATTGTCAATATTATTCGACACCAGCCACGATCACTATTACATAGTTCTGAATGGTTTATGTTGTCAGGCGACGTGTAAAGTATGTGTAATCTCCGGTCATTTTAAAACAGAACTTCATGGTAGTTTTTACGAAGGTATCCTGATTCATGTGTAGTGTGCACTTGGGTACAACAGAGGAGCTTGGAGATGCTGTCTCAGAATTGAAGCTATCCGTATTCCAACTTGGAATTAGTCCCTATATCCTCTCATCCATTGTTATGCAGGTATGCAACTATTTGTAGAGTAAATCCATTATATCACTGCCAATTCATGTTTAGCAGGATCTTTAAGTGATGAACTTATTCCAAGTATACAAATTATACAAATTATGCACTTTGTATGTGTGTCTGGAATTTTGTGTACAATACTTTTTGCTGGAGTATGATTTGTACGAAGAGTCTTTGAACTCAACGAACTCAACGAATTTCGATTTTGATTCTTATGGTTTTGATTCTAGGTATCTTGTCACCTAGTTCCAGCACTTGTGAAGCTTCGGAAAGAGGGAATCGATGGCAACGAGAAAATAAAGAAATACACGTGTGTAATTTATCTTCGTTCTGCTTTATGACGCTTTCTGCAGAATTGCAATAATTTTTTCTGGTTGATGGCACCAGCTCTCCAGCTTTTGAAGACTATTTGGGCATTTTGTATGCATGCTATAATACATGCCCTCTCAGATTGATGGTTAAGCCATATTTATTGGTAACAATCAATGCGATGCCTGCATCGAGTGAAATAATCTGGAATAGTCATTTGTCTAAGTGTACTGAATCAAAATATCGACTTCAGCAATCCTCTCGTATGAATTATTGGGAATTAATGTGCTTGTACAGCTGGTGGTTAGCGTTTGGAGTTGCAGTGGTGGAGTCCTTGGGCATAGCTATACACTCTATCCCGTATTCCCTTTACGCTGCTCAAAACAGGTATGTTGTTTTCTCATATTGGCTTTTTCAAGTTTCAACATGCGGATTATATATTATTTAACTTTTCTGTTATTACTCGATCTTATGGTTGCTCATTTTTACCAGCGAGCTGTTGTTTGTGCTACTAATAATCAAACATGATTTTTCAGAGTTTGATTAGTGGATTGTTTGTTCAGATTTAGTTATCTATTTGTGACTGTTGGTCTTTTGACGCTTGGAGCAGTGACATTAAATTGGATATGTGATAAAATAACAGAAGCTGGTTTCGGTAAGCCCTTGTAGTTCTTAGACTAAGCAAATTTTCTGTGAAGTCTTCAGAGTTGTGCTCAAGACGGCAGTTGGGCCGATCGTGTGACAAGTCAATTTAAGAATTTTCAGTTTTTTATAGATTTATCATATACTTTTATCACTAGATATGTCTCGGTAGTTTCCTCGTTATCAAGCTCTTTTCAAGAGCTTTATGTATTAGCCCGTGACAACTTCGTGTCTTCTGCTGCAGGTCAAGGATCTTCTCTCATCATATGCATTGGCATATTGAAGGGCTATTCTGAGACTCTGCTTAAGATGCTGATGAATCTCAATCGTAGGTTTATGCATAGCTTCAACCTATGGTTACATGCAATCCCTGGATCAGATTTCTTTTTTAATTGAACAATTAATATTCTAAACGTCATGCTGTTTGTAACTGTCCCGCCTCTGCTTTTTAGCTATTTTTAAAATGTAGTTTCTGAAAATCAAGTTGTGAGTATTTAGGATTTTCTATCATGTTCAAGGTATGGGTTCTTGTGGCTGAATCCCAAGTTTCACGTTTTTGCAGGTGGTCCTACTGGTTGGGGTTCATCAATATTCGTTTTTCTCGGTGTCTTCCTCGCCATTACCATGTGGGCAGTGCTTGTCACTGAAGGTCGTCGCAAAATAAAAATGGTGTACTACAACTTTGAGTTAGCTCCTTCCAAAGCGTATGCCCTATTCTTGAGTCTACTTGTTCTGTTCTCTTTTAGTTATTGGAATGTATCCTGTTCAACATCTTAGTTTCTGGATGGGTGGATGTCTGGCCAATCTTTTTCCTGTTGTTTTGCTGACCTGTATTTTCTACAGCAATACTAGTGTTGTCGTTGCATCACATTGTAAAATAGTAGGAACCAAGAGTGCAGTTCGTGCACGGTCAGATGGCTGGGAGATGCTTTTTTTTTTTTTTTTTTTTTTTTTTTTTTTTGTGCTGTCTTCTTAAGGACGCTGAACTGATTGGCAACATGTGTGGTGTTTCCATGAATAGCAAGGCGGATGCAGGATTGCAGGAAGTGGAACCTTATATTCCTTTCAACATAAATCCTACAGGGATGCAACCTGTTCTTACAACTACATATCTTATGGCAGTGCCATCCCTTATTGCCAAGTATGAGCTCCTCTGAACAGGCCGTTTTCATGCACCGGACATATTGTTTTACGTTCACTTCTTACACGGTTACTGCTGCTGCTTTGACTTACAAATGGAAAATGATCTTGACAGCTTCACTCGTCCTGGGGGTTTTTGGCACCAACTAAGGAATACGTTAAATCCTGCATGGCCTCCTGCTCCTGGATCAAGTCCTTTGCTCTTTTATGGAATTAATGCCTTGTTCATATTTGTGTTCAACATCTTGGATATTGTAAGTGTTGTCTTGAGCTTCATTTTGAATTTCTAGAGCCTGAAAGACATTAGAAGACTTCAAAAGATTGTGCTGTGATTTCGGAACAGTATTAGAATGCAGAATTGCAGGTCGAAGTTACATTAGACATCATCATATCTCGCAACAAACGAAGTGTAATAGAGTTCCGAGATTCTGGAAGTTTATGTCATTATGCATGAGCTATTTGTTGGTTAAGTGTCCCTTAAAGCACTTGTTGAGAGGGATTTTGATGCTATTGGTTGCAGTCGTTACTCAGTGAGTAGAGAGCATGAGAACGATCAGTTTTAATGTACACAATGTATTTAATTAAATTATTTTAAGAAGTTGAGATGAAGTACTGTAAGGCAAGAAATCATCGTTTGTTTTGCGTTTCTTGCAGGTGGATACGCCGAAGGAAATTTCTGAGTATCTGATGAAAATTGGTGCAAGAGTTCCGGAGGTTAAACCCGGTCGTCAAACTATTGAGTATTTGACCAGTGTTCAACAATCCACACGTTTTTGGGGTGAGCTTTATTTTTAATAATACCAATCATAACAAAAATCATAATAACAAGTTTACCCTGAACTTTAACTGAGCATGCCGCGATTGTGCCTGAGAGAACAAATTATGAAGGCAATGGCATGATACTTTGGTACTGGTCCTCGTCGGTTGTGGCAGGTGGAGTTTTACTGGCGATGTTGGTAACAGTATCAACGATTGTGGACAACAGATTCAGGGCGATTCACCAAGGCGGAAGTATTGGTTTTACTTCTATGCTCATTATTGTACGGCTCTCCTTAACAACTTCTCAGTTCTTCCAACCCCACCAGTGGGATTTTAAAAAGCCCAATCCCTCTATTTTTCTTGGACGATAGTGCTTACTATGCAACCAAATGCAATAACGTGTTTGAATTTGTGACAGACTCTTTTAAACCAATATCTGTTCCTCTGGCAGAGGCATAGTTTTTCTAGAGTAGAATGCCAGTAATTTTATACGGCCAATGTTCTGACACTTTCGATGACTTGCATATTAGGTGGGCTCAATAATTGAGTTGAGGAGGTCGTATATGGCTTACAACGTGATGCCAGAACTTAGCAAAGTCTTGAAGCGTTATGGAGCTTGACATTATTAAAAATGCTACCCTTTCGACTGGTTTATTGTCTCCTTGATATTCAAAATTCGGTATACTCATCATGAGTGTACTGCACATGCTTGGTAATTTCCTCTTCCTTCTTTCCTCGTGGCTTTCTATCGTACATATCCATCTTGTATTGCTGCCTTTTTACAGTGTAGTCTTGTGGGTTGATGTTCGTTCTGCCCCTAATTCTGTTTTACCTCCAAGATTTCTAAATTACCATATTCTTCTGCAGGACCAGAGCAGCTTGGCAGTGGGATCGCACTTTATTATGTTGAAAATGACTCAAAGGATATGACAGTGTTCCTCAAGGTTAAACCACACAGTATCACATTGTTATCATCGTGAGGGTTTGGTTCCCCAAGTTTATTTGTGATATGTAAGGACGCGGAGAACTATTATTTTCTTGTTGGTTAGAGTACGCTTGTGTGTTCGAGACCTTTGTAACTCGTGTGAAGATTATCCCAGGTGCAGTGTCGGTGGTTGGGAAAATCATTTGCAATATAAACTCAATAAAGAAAAATGAAGCTTCTTGAATCCATGTTTTCTGGTGATCTTGTCAGCCATTTAGTAGTCTCTTGCAGTCTGATGTGCTTCGATTTCTCAGATTGTTTCCTTGGAACGACGGTCTCTTTTGAAATGATTAACTTTTCAAGGATTCTTACAACTATTGAATACATTTGTAACCCTGAGATTGAGAGGATGTGAACATATTTCATGAGGCGCAGTGTGACTGGTGTGTTCATTTACAGCAACTCAAATAAGTCAGATTTTATTAATTTTGACCATTTCATACTAGATCTGAGACACAGGTTGAAAGACACCTTGGAATTAAGGGATTGGTTCTTGAATTTAGTTGTTTTAATCTGTAATTTTTGAACATAAACAATAGTTTCATTATATTGCCTTCCATTCAGACAAAAATTCAAATAGGAATGAGTTAATTCAAAATGTTTGTTGTCTAGAAAAGGAGACTTTTGTGTTTTTGTAAATTGTGAATAATAAGTTTCTAGATTGGAGCAAGTAAAACTTTTGGGACTTGCAAAAAAACATAGTAAACTGGTTAGTCTATGGGTAGCTTGAAGTTTGCATGTAATTGTAGCTTGCAACATTGTCATTTGAGGCCAAGGAGGGACAGGATAACGAAGACTTGACCGGTT